AAAAAAAAGCAATTTCCAAACAATTGAGATTACAATTTGTCTAAGAAGAGAAAAGAAGAATGACTGAATGCTAAAGTTGATAGGAGGCAGTATGATCAAAATAAGTGCAGCACACTTAACTTAGGTTTAACCATTGCTACGGCGAATGGAAGAACAAGGACATTTCAAGAAACAGCGCATTAAACCCATACAATTATGTAATCCACGCAAATTACTTGGTAAGTTTGTAGAGAAAAAATATATTTATCCACTGTCTAAACATTGACAGACGCTCTTCTTTAATACGCTTTTTTGTAGAAAAGATCTGTTCTATATGTTGCCGAATGAAATCTTCTTTCAAACTTGAAAAAATTTAGCTATTTTATTGATCAACTCTTGCTATATGTATTAGCTATGTAAATAAGATGATTAGTAAAATAATGATATAAACATCATAGTGCCTGTCGAACTGTATGTTTTTTGAACTAGTTGTCCAGCATTGATTCCAACGAAGAGAGAAATATTGTGTTCGTCATCTCTGACATTGACTACTTTGATCTATGATAGGAAAGAGAATGTATATTTTAGTCAGAAAATGACCGTGAATGAAATATTCAAATCATTATCGATAATAGAAGAAACAATGAAACTTGTTTTTACCGTTGCATTTAGCGACATAATTGAGCATTAAGAAAAAAAAGAAAAATTTTAACTTTTATTTTTTCAACCGAACTGATCAGTGACTTTTACGTTATATATATATATATCATTTTGTGTAAGTATAAAAGTAAATCTTTTAAATTATTATATCTCGTATTATTTTATTGAAAAGCAATAAAGTAAGCAGTAAGTATTGAGTGAGTAGATTATTTTTTTCCAAATATACTACATTGAGCAAACTCTCTGTTTCTTAAACTAGGACTTGGGGTGTGTGAATGATGATAAAAAACACAATTATGCTTTCACGTGCAAAAAACGAGGACTATGTCACTATTCATTCATATATATTCCATCTAATATTTTTATCCAAAAATTAGTTTAGGTCAAATATATAATATGTTCATATATATTTTTGTAAAAGACGATTGAATATATTTAAACATAAAACTAATAATGGATTTGTACGTATGTGTATGCTGTTTAGAGTGCTTTAGAATAAAAGGAGACATTTAAATGCAATTCTGTGCATCTAAAAACTATGGGCTATTCTAACTATGGGCTATTATTACTAAAGATTTTGGCATCGGTATATAGAAAAATGTACGATCTACCAGTGTCTTCAATAGAAAGTTGTTCCAATCAAAAATAACGGAAAACTTACCAAAAAAATACAGCAAAGATTTCAAAAACAATATTCTATACAGTTAAAAAACAATAAAATAAAGAGAAGAATGAAAGAGAGTAACAAAAAGAAAGAAATCTGTTTAGTTAATATGAGACTTTCCATTTTTATTTGAATGAACATTTTAAAAATGTTAACAGAATCGTATACAACAAACAAACATCTATCTTTCTCATAATCTTTCGTATTCATTTTGCCTAATTTAGATTTCCAGATAAATACTCTCTATGTTCAGACATCTTTAAACTATTTTTTCTTTCTTGATGATACAATTCTCTATTTCTTCAAAGGTTGTATTTTAATCTCTCACCTTGAAAGTCTTATAAATATGAAGGCTTTACGTCGTCGGTAAAAGAATGTTTGTAAAAATGACATTTTAACGACGAAAAGTTTTCAATTTCAAATCGTTCTTCCTTATTCCTGTTGTCTCCTCCCGATAGAAAAAAAAACAAAAAAACGAAGTCAACCCTGGCTATTCTTCTATTTTGATCTTTGCGTGATTATCTCTCTGTTATTATTATTTAGTTGCTTTCGTACGTATCGTTATAATAAATAATACAGAACTTGCGTAGATGCATTGTATTTGAAATATATCGTTTGCTTAACCTTTTTTACATTTGTCGACCGTTCTACTAGTTTGCCTTCACGTTTTTTTTTTCTTTCTTATTGTTTTACGTACTATACTAGTTATTTTCTACGATCATCTTATTCTTTGTGGGACGTCCTTTGTTGTGTGATCAATTCGTGACGCGTCTCTTTTTCTATTCTAAGACTTAATTTTTCTCTTTTTTTATCACTAAAATTTTGATTACCATCAGCATGTACAATTTTTAGAGTAAGTTTATCGTTTAAATTTATAATGATTTTGGATTTTTTAGATGAACCGCGCAGTTTATCAAAAGAGAGAAAAAGAGAGTGAGAGAGAGAGAGATCTTGATCTAGGATAACTACTTGGTGAGACGAAATATATCACATGCAAAGAAATTTTTTTTTTGAATATTTCAAACGAGACTGCTGAGACATAACATTTAACTAGTCCTTGAGATGAGTATGATCTTTTTCTATTACTAAATAAGGAAGGTGATTAATACTATCATATTCTTGACTTTGTGTACTTGTGTGCGAGAAGTAGACCTCTCCTTTGTCTTTTAAACATACGACGAAAATCACTTAGAGAACGAAGAAGATAATAGGAAATTTTTTTGTTTGCGTGTATATAAATTTACCTGGCATTGTATAGAACAAAGATCATCCTAAATAGTGGCCAGTGCCTTCTAATTTCAATTACAAGGTCACAATAGGTCAGAGTTAACGAGCCAAGTTTGTATTGATAACCCTTATTTACTTCTTTTTTTTTTCTTTCTGTGAGCGAGTGTTCACAATACTGTACAGATACCGCATAAAAGAAAAAAGAGAAAAATTGTACTAGAGAGTATGTATATATAATTAAAACCAAAATATTTGGGTTATATAATAGAAAAAAAATAATAAAAAAATAAAAAGTAAAAAAAAGAGGAAAATAAATCAGAACTTTTTATTATCAATTTGTATTTTCTCTATTTCTTTTTCTGTGTTTTCTTGTTCTTTACTTATTGCTATTTTTCTCTATACAGAGAATGAATGTAAGCCATATACTGTACCATTTTTGGCTATTGAGGGCTAATTAAATGAACAAAAAATAATATCCCATTTTTAAATTATCTTAATTTTTCATCTGATGGATTTTATTTTTGAATGGGTTGATTCTACTAGTTATAGGATCGATAAGAATGATTTTCATTTATTGTTATCTCGTTAAAAAATACAATTTTAAATACAATAGTCCTAATTTTTAATTGTGAAATATTACGCACAATCTATGGACGGTAAGTAATAAGAAATTTTCACTTTAAAAACAGCACAACCAAATAGTTTTTGACATTGAAATTAGTAGTTATTGTATGCGCTTGTACATTTTCTGTAAACTTTTGTAGAATGTAAGTTCTAAATCGATTCTAATTATGTATCATTATGGGACAAGATTTTTCGAGAGTTGTAATAATATGAAAAAAAATTATTCGACTTCATATCAGAAATTATTTCATATTGAACTGAAACTGTTATCTTAAATGACTAGATGATAGAAAGTTTTACAGATTATCTGCTATTTATGAATAAAATAATTTTGCATGATGAAATTTAAATTCTAATACTTACTTTTCTCATTTAAGATCTATATCAAATAAGGATCTTTTAAAATTCATAACAAATTATAAAAGAGAAAAAAGACTTCTAGTATCTGAAGCAAGAAATTCATTTCTATACAGAATCTAATTGATGGTTTTTAATAGCTAAGTCATTCTTCTTTACTCTTAAAACAGATAATAGCTTTATCTATTTGCGCTGAAGATAGCTTCTCTGATTTATCGTATAGATGATATATTTATAAGGTATAAATTCTGATGTCATTATTGATCAATTACACATGCTCAAATAGTATTGATCATTGTTATGGATTCATGATTATTGACATATATTGTAGCCAAAAATAGTTTTGTTTTATACTCAAGTCACAAATATGCCAAAATATAGTAAGTATATGGTGGATACCTAGAATGAAATTTGTGTCAATGTGGTATAAACAAGATTAGATACATATTTTAGTACTAGATTTTTTCCAACAATTATCAAGAAGAAAATGTGGTAGAAGGAAAAACTAGCCAAGACACTAAGATTGTATCTAAACTGCTTTTTCAAATTACTCATTCAACTATTTGTTGCGATGTGGCTTCTGAAATATTGTCATCTTATAAGAGAAAAGAGAAATCAGACGATTTTACAACTTGCGGATGAGAAATATTAAAAAAAAAACACTTATCGGTGAGTTAGAAGAAGCAATATTAGGTCAAAATTTGGTTTAAGTCTGAACTAGAATGTTTTTTTGATGGACTTGGACTTAATCTTCATTATACTTGGCTTGGATTGTAAAGTACCCGGATTTGTCCAAAACTGTACTAAGTACTATCAAACATGGCATTCTGAAGTAGGTTGTTTAACCCTATATTTTCATTCAAACGAATTTGTCGAAGGGAGATCACTAAGAAAATGCCTGATCTAGTATATTAAAAACAAAAATTTGATATTTTTCACACTTTAGGCTAGCTTCTATCTTATTATATAAGTGGATTAACATAATAGCAACGTATGTGTCTGGATCCGATGAATTAACTTATAAGAATATATATTTTTTTATTTTTCGTACTTTCAACCTTACCATTTGGCATGAATTACATTCTATATCCATGGCCGGCGGAAGGGGCGGACGACCGCTCGGGGCGCTACAGAGTAAGGGGTGCCGGAGGCACCTTGGTTTTCTAATACTGATCAGACGCATTTCAACAGGTACAGACAGAAGGGGTGGGGGCGCAAAAATAAATTTTCGCCCGGTATCATAATTTTGCTCGCGCCGGCCCTGTCTATATCGAGTAGAAGTTAATTACGTATCACGATACAATAGAACTAAACAATAAGTTAACTAAGATTAGTTTTTTTTTGACAAAATGTGTTGAAAGTTTAAGCTAGACAGAGAGAGAGAGAGATCACAAAAACAAAGAAAATAAACTGACATATCTGTTGTATGTGTAGTATTTGTGGTAGTAAGTAGTTTTAGTTTAAAATGATCTTTATTGAACAAATTTTATGCTCATTAAATTTATTCTCCAAATGCCGGAGATCACTTCGAATAAGTTGACAGCATGACTATTGTTTTCAGTATAGATTTTCTTTATCAGATTTTTTTTGTTTTGGTATGTTAAGGGACATATGACAAGAAATTGTTTTTTTAACAAGTTCACTGCTATATAGTAATAAAAGGGTGTAATCGAAATAAGAACAGAAAAGAAAGAACTTTTGTTTCTTATTGGAACATGGCTGTAATAATGATGATTACAATACATAAACTATGATGTGCTTCGATGAATTATGAGAGGAACAAGATGAACTCAAGAGAGTGAAAGAACTGAATAGAAAAAATGTGCACATATGTCCATCTCTTTTTTTATTCGGAATGATACTCAACTGGTTGAACTTTTAAATAAACGATTAAATGTCAGAGATCTATTGGCTTTTTTCCTGTTTTTTCTTTAAAATAAACGATTGGCTCAAATTTGAATGTATGGTAGTGCTTGCTTTAATATATTAGAAAATCAGTAAATTTCACAGCATGATCTATCTTTATTGTAATGGATTCTTAAATTTAAAAGGAGATCGGTGTAAAAGAGAAAAGATAAATGTCTCAAATAGTTATCTGAAATTGTACTATATACTTTTTGCTTTCGTCAGACATCAGAATAGTGTTTATACAGCAGAACTTAAGTTATACTTTTTGTCATCAGAGGTGGATTTAAGTTGAATTTGTGAATAAATTTTCAACTCCGATTCAAGTCCAAATTTATCTATTCGTAGTGGAAAAAAATGAGTTAAAACTAGAGTATATAATGATAACGAGTATTGCAGCTGTTTGCGATTCTATATCAGAGATAAGAGGAAAGAGTAACGATTGAATGAGTTTTTAATGTGATATTAACAGAACAGTTTATAGAAAAATGGTTTATGAAAATTAACACTATGGAGATGTAATTTTGGTTTTTTTGTAAACATTTTTTTACGTGTTTTCTACCATCTGTAAAATTACACTGAGAAAGAACTGAGGAAATGATTTGGCTAGTATTAAAAGCTTGAGCTGTTGTATACATCGATCTTTCTACAAAAAACGACCTACACTTGATGTGTGTATTTTAGCTTTTGCCTTTGAATCGCCAATGACCGTTATGCATTCAACACCTCCTTGGTCGGAGAGCATCAATAATCGAATCGTCTCACTAAGCTCAGGAATATCAATCGATCCACAAATTTCAAATCGTCCGTCTTCAACAGCAACATCCTCTTCGTCGTCTTCTTCTCGACAAGCTATAACACCTCAACATCATCATCATCATTTTGTCACTCACATGCCTGGTGAAACATCGAGAAGTACTTCGAATGATGGTATGTCTTTTACTCCTCAACTATGACTAGGTATGAGAATAAAAAAAGGTATTTCATAGACACAACAACAAATGGCAATCATCGTCATCATCATCACGTTCTGCCTAAAATTGAGCCCAATGGTGTTTCGTTAAATCAACATGGAATGCATTCAATGAGTTCGTTAACTGATTCCACAAGTGATAAACAAACAATTGAATGCGTCGTATGCGGAGACAAAAGTTCAGGGAAACATTATGGTCAATTTAGGTACGTACATTAGTGATTAACGGATAAAAAACGAGTGCTTATGCTCACATCAGATGAAAGATCATTTCTCTAACATGCTTTATACATCATTCCAGCTAATTTATTCCAATTTTAGCTGTGAAGGATGTAAATCTTTCTTTAAACGTTCGGTTCGACGTAATCTAAATTATGCCTGTCGAGGAAATCGTAGTTGTCCGATCGACACGCACCACCGTAATCAATGTCAATACTGTCGATTTAAAAAATGTCTCAAAATGGGAATGAGAAGAGAGGGTTTGTTAATGTTTTAAAAGATCTATCATCATTAATTTTTTCAATTTAATACCACTTGCATCTCTCTCTTTTACATCAGCTGTTCAACGTGGTCGTGTACCATCGACGACAAGCGGCGGTTATGGACATTTTTCGTTTAATCCAGATGCTAGTAATACACATTCGTATTTAAGCACTTATATCTCAATTCTGGTCCAAGCTGAGCCCTATTCATTTTTTCAAAATCGCCTATCATCAACGTCATCTACGGCCACCACAACAACATCAGCAAATAGTCAATTATCGCAAGCAAATTTTGTATCGATGGACAATATATGTGAATTAGCCGCACGTTTATTGTTTGGCGCTGTAGAATGGGCAAGAAATGTTCCGTTCTTTCAAGAACTTAGTCTAAATGATCAATGTATCTTATTGCAAATAACATGGAGTGAACTATTCCTATTGAATGCGTCACAATGTAATATGCCCGTTCAAGCAGCACAATTGCTAATATTAAGTGGGATACATGCGAGTCCGATACCTGCTGAAAAAGTGCAAACATTTCTAGATCATACAAGAAAATTCCAAGAACAAGTAGAAAAATTAAAAACTTTACATCTAGATCATGCCGAATATTCTTGTCTAAAAGCAATTGTTTTATTTACACCAGGTAATTGATAAAACTAAATTCTTTCTTTTGAAAATTACTATTTCAATGATCACGTTTTCTTATGCTTTCAGATGCTCCAAATTTATCCTATCCTCAACATATTGATAATTTACAAGAAAAATCTCTGTTAGCATTAGAAGAATATGTTAAAGGACAGTATCCGGCGCATGTAAGCCGCTTCGGTAAATTATTACTACGATTACCATCATTAAAAACTGTCTCGTCTCAAGTTATTGAACAAATATTTTTTGTAAGATTGGTGGGTAAAACGCCAATTGAAAGTTTAATACGTGACATGTTGTTAAGCAATAATTCGTTGAATAATTCGACATTCGTGCCGACAACATCATCCTATAACGTCTTTCCACAGTAAAAAAATCAACAGAAATCAGTGTTAAGAAGACACTTTTTCGTGTATTTTAACTCACTTCTCAGTATTTTTCGCAGTTGGATAGACGTAAAAGCAAAAGTATTCGTTTATTTTTGTAAAAAATTCGCTACCAGGTAGTACTGGCTTACTTTCCAGTACGGTAAAGTTATGTTTATCCATGGTCATATAAATACACACCTAAGAGAATAATACGATGGCATACATTTTTCAACATCGATTTGAGAATGAACATTTTCCTATGTTGTTGCCTTCTAAAACGTAGCAAAATATTTCCCAATAAAGAAAACTAAGAGAACAGGCATCCATGTTTCTGCTCACAATAATTCAATTTCAGTTCGAATGTATCATTTATTTTGGCTTTCAAAATTTATTTTTACTATTTTCCATTAGGTTCTCTCCATCTAAGAAACTTTTTTTCTATTTAGTAAAGAATCTAGAGAAACTCACTTAATCTAAGATTAATTATTTCTATATGCAATTTATTTTTATTTTTTTCTCTTCATTATATCTTTTACAGATCTAAGAAATTTGTTGTTGTCAATATTCATTTTTTTACTTTGTGTAATATTTGTTTGTTTGCTTTTATTTTTCAAATTTCAGGTTTCTCTTTTTTTATACCCGATTTTTTTCTCTATCCGGTTTACCGACAGTGATCAGTGTAGTTAGTATAATATCACTTCTACTTTTACCTAAATGTACTACTACATACTTGTTTTATATTTGTGTATTTTACAAAACTCTCTGTCGGATGCCATCTTGAATAAGATTTTTTACAGATGTTTTTTCTTTTCATTTTACTGTTGTCTGTTACTTCTTTTTTTTGTGCAATTCAAAATGTTTTTGACTAAATTCTAACAATGTGTGAATTAGGATCGAAAGCTCCATCAGTATCATATTTTCAATTTCGTTTAACTTTACTCTAATAATGTTCAAACAATAGTCGACAGTGACTATTTCTATATAAGAAGCTTGTTGAACTACATCTGGCTTAATTGATTTACAACTATTAACTGTCTATATAGGCGTCAATACGGAACTAATCTATCATTTGTGTATTTACAATGATATATTTGATCCTGAGGCGAAATGAGCATTACTTCAAAGTCAATTGAATATCCGGTTAAGATGATTGCTGTTATAAATAATTGATGCGATAAAATTATAAAAAAAGAAGCATATAGACCTTATTTAAAATATGATAATTGGGGAAAAATACTTTTGCATCTTCTAAAACCAATGCATGAAGAATATCAGCCTGATGATGATACTGTGAAGTATCGAAAGCTCGCATTTTGTGTAAAATGATTTTACAAAAATGTTTTTCAATTATATTAAATATATTTAATTTTATAAGAAACGTAAAAAAGTCAAAGAATGTCAATATATTAGAAATAGAGTTGTATTTCATAAGAAGATTCCTTCCACTTTTATAGATAGTTTCTGTTGAAACCTAAGCCGTTTTTTAAATCCAAAAGATCTTTTACAGCAATCATTTAGATAGCATAATTCTTTGGATGGAAACCACATCGCAGTATTACTAAGAGCTTTTTTTCATAGAAATTGAGCTCCTTCTACACAAGACAAAGCAAATGATAAACGCATACCTCTATTTTTTAACAAATAATGAAATTGTATTTCAAAAGCTCTGCTTCTTCTCGTATGATGAACGGTATCTACGTAAGCTCTCCTTCTCAGCTTACTTTCCTCATAATTATTCTATCACTAGAACTTACAGCGGCAAATAAAATGAATCGAAATCGATGCTTGCTCTGCAGCAGATGTCGCTGTGTAATGCGGTGTTTTGCTGGAACAATTACCAGTTGTAGGCCCATATTTAATGCTTAAAAATTAAAATTCAATATTAAAATCAATAAAATGTACTTCTGTCAATAAAATATAGAATCAGTTTTAGTTTCTTATGTAGCGGTTTGGTGATGATCTTCACAAATTATTGGCTTTTCAATTTATCCGTAGTTTACTCTTCTTGTTACATTAGCTTTTTGTGTGGTTTTGTTACACTGTAAACCATTTTAGTAAATGTTCTCCAGTTAATTAGAGCATGCCCCCCAACTGCTCCTTGGTATTTTTCTACATAATCCTTTTTTGTAGATGTATCTATACAATTTGACATTGCAAAGGCCTAATGGCGTTACTCATTGTATACATGGGAATTTTTCTGGGCCAAAGCAACAAGAAATATGTGTGTCAAGGGGCAAAATACTTGAAATTTTGAAGCCAGATCCATCTACTGGAAAAGTTTATACATTACTAACTGTGGAGGTATTTGGTGTAATACGATCACTTGTACCAATTCGTTTAACTGGTAGTAATCGAGGTAAGTAAGGAAATCTTGATTAAGATATTTTATTTAGGAGTTCTTTGCTACTTTAAATAGATTATATTGTTATTGGCTCTGACTCCGGCAGAATATTGATATTGGAATACAATGCGTCAAAAAATACACTCGAAAAAGTAAGATTTTGTTTTCTTACCTGACGTTCACTTAGTTGAACCTTTGTTTATTTAGGTTCATCAAGAGACCTTTGGTAAATCAGGCTGCCGTCGAATTGTCCCCGGTCAATTTTTATCTGTTGATCCAAAAGGACGCGCATTAATGATTGGTAAGATTTCAGATCTTTTGTTTATGTAGTAAGCGATGATTCTTTATACATAAGTTTGTTTCAAGGATAGGATGATACCCCGTGTTACTTAGTCACGACTATGACGCTAAATTATTTAATCTGATCCTTAAACAATCGATTACAGCCTCCTTATTTCTAACATCATCATTTCTAAAAATCAGTAATTTCGATAGATTTATCAATTTAGGTGCTGTGGAAAAACAAAAACTTGTTTATATACTAAATCGCGATTCACAAGCACGTTTAACAATCTCGTCTCCATTAGAAGCACACAAAGCAAACACTATTACATTTTATAGTGTTGGCGTTGATGTTGGTTTTGAAAATCCAATATTTGCTTGTCTTGAAGTTGATTATGAAGTATGTTTACTTGGTTTATTTGTTAACACATTGTACATGTTAAATATTTTTCTTCAGGAAGCAGATAACGATCCTACAGGTCAAGCTGCAAAAGATTTAAAGCAGACATTAACATTTTACGAATTAGATCTCGGTTTAAACCATGTTGTACGAAAATATTCAGAGCAGTTAGACGAATTTGCCAATTTGTTAATAACGGTACCTGGTGGAAATGAAGGACCGAGTGGAGTATTAATTTGTTCCGAAAACTTTTTAACATTCAAAAATTTTGGCGATCAACCCGATATTCGATGTCCCATACCAAGGAGGAGAGTACGTTTCCATTTATTTTTCCTATTTCGTATGCTTATTTATTATTATTATATGTTTATATCTCTCATTTTCTTTTAGAGTGACTTGGATGATCCTGAACGTTCAATGATATTTGTCAGTAGTGCAACGCACAAAACAAAAAATATGTTTTTTTTTCTTGTACAGACCGAACAGGGTGATTTATTCAAAATAACACTTAATCACGATCCGGATATGGGAATGGTAAGAAGCAATTACCTTTTCGTTTTTATGGTACTCATTCTTAGTTAAAAAAATGGCTCTATTGAGAGTAGATTTCATGAGTCTGCTTTCTACAAGGTTTTTCTGTTCCACTTATTGCAAACTGTTTACACATTTTATTACCAAGGGCAGAAAATGATGAGTTTTTGATCGTGTTTCACATGATTATATATGATTTTATCTGATTCACCTGATTCTGCATTTTAATCATTCGTTTCAAAAGATCGTCTTCTTGAAAGAAAGCAACTCCACTCTTTGGAAAAGATTATAGTTTTCAATTTTATATTGATGCTGTTTCTTTTTTTTCTAGGTGACAGAAATTCGTCTCAAATATTTTGATACAGTACCGGTTGCTTCGGCTATGTGTGTGTTGAGAACTGGATTTTTATTCGTTGCATCAGAATTCGGTAATCAGTAAGTTTTTTCTGTTTTGACAATTTAATTTTACAATCTTCAATTCTCTACTTTTTTAGTTATCTGTATCAGATATCACATCTAGGAGATGATGAAGAACCGGAGTTTAGTTCATCTGAGCGACTAGAAGAAGGAGATACGTTCTTTTTTGTTCCAAGAAAATTAAAAAATTTGATATTAGTCGATGAAATGGACAGTTTGTCACCGATAATGGCATGTCATATTGCTGATTTGGCAAACGAAGATACACCACAATTATATGTTGCGTGTGGACGTGGACCACGTTCAAGTTTAAGAATATTACGGCATGGATTAGAAGTAAGTTAGTAATTCGTGTAACTGTCAGAAAAAAACGAGGTTTACTATCCAAATTGTAGAGAGAATGTAATTTTATAATTTACTTGCCTGTTTAGGTCACAGAAATGGCTGTGTCAGAGTTGCCTGGTAATCCAAACGCTGTTTGGACAGTTAAAAGGCGCGCCGATGGTATGTACTGTAGTCTTTTAGCGAAAGAATTCGGAAGTAGTCAGTTATTTCTTTCTCTTTTCCATAGATGATTTTGATGCGTACATTATTGTCTCATTTATTAATGCAACTTTGGTATTGTCTATTGGAGAAACAGTTGAAGAAGTGACTGATTCGGGTTTTCTGGGAACCACACCGACTTTGAGTTGTTCACAACTTGGTGATGATGCACTTGTACAGGTATATTTTTCTTCGTTCTCCATAAACCAACCTTTGTTAATGTTCTCTTAATTTCAGATTTATCGTGAAGGTATTCGACATATAAGAGCTGATAAACGTGTGAATGAATGGCGAGCACCAGGAAAAAAAACAATCACACAATGTGCTGTTAATCAGCGCCAAGTAGTTATAGCATTAACTGGTGGTGAACTCGTGTATTTTGAAATGGATTCGGTAAGAATGTCTTGCAGTCATTCAATTTCTTTCTCATTTTACTCTTAAAGGTTGTTTACCGATTGACCGCTGTAGTCTGTCTCTAAACTTGTTTACCTAATAATATGCACAATACCATTAGATTTTTTTAATCATGTTTCATATATCACTATAGATGTTTGTTGTTTTAGACTGGTCAATTAAATGAATATACAGAACGTAAAGAAATGACTGGCGAAGTAGTGTGTATGGGATTGGGTAGCGTACCTGAAAATGAACAACGATCTAGATTTCTAGCTGTTGGTTTGTCTGATAGTACAGTTCGAATTATCTCACTTGATCCACAAGTAAGAGAGTTTGTTGATGTTTTTAACTCGTTATGGAAAAGATGCATTATTAGCTTTGTGCTTGCAAAGGCTGTTGTTAACAAAAAGATTTTTATCAAATTAAAGATCTTCTAGTTTGTTGTTTTGATCCTATTTTCTTGTTCTAGGATTGTCTCACTCGACTAAGTATGCAAGCATTACCAGCACCAGCCGAATCTTTATGTATTGTTGAAATGAGAACACTCGAAGGTGTTGTGGTTGATACCACCGGAGGGCGCGATACACAAATTGGTTCAACCGGAACATCATTTCTTAACATTGGACTTCAGGTATAAGTTTTTTGTGTTTAATTCCATCATATATTTTATACTTGTTTTAGTTTATTTTAGAATGGTGTATTACTTCGTAGTGTATTAGACTCCGTTACAGGTGATATGTCTGATACACGAACACGCTATCTTGGATCGAGACCGGTTAAGTTATTTAGAATTTCAATGCAAAACAACGAAGCAGTAAGTATTTTTAGATTTGTCTAAAGCTTATACAAAAAAATACTATCAGCATGGTTGGAGAGGGACTCTTAATATTCATTGTTTTGAGAGAAAATAAAGTTTAAAAACGAAGCTATGATTTTTCTCTTTTATTAAACAAACATTTTCTCATATTGTCTTTTATGTTTAGGTGCTTGCGATGTCCAGTCGTACGTGGTTAAGTTATACATATCAAGGACGATTTCATTTAACACCGTTATCGTATGAATCGTTAGAATATGCATCTGGTTTTGCAAGTGAGCAATGTCCAGAAGGCATTGTAGCAATCTCCGCCAACACACTAAGGTTAGTTAAAGTTGCATCGTTTAAGAAATAAAATGACTTAAGAATTGTTTTTCTTTTCAGAATTTTGACACTAGAAAAACTTGGTGCAATATTTAATCAAGAAGTACGTCCATTAAAATATACGCCTCGTCGTTTTGTTTTACATCCCGAAACAAATATTATATATTTAATTGAAACAGATCATGCTTGTTATACTGAACTGACAAAACAACATAGAAGAGAACAAATGGCTAAAGTGAGTTAGTTTTATTATTGTCAAAATTACAACAATATGCTATTATATTTTTTAGGAAATGGTCGATGCAGCTGATGATGACGATAAAGAACTAGCTTCAGAAATGGCAGCTGCTGTTTTATCAGAAAAACTGCCTGAAGAAACATTTGGCACACCAAAAAGTGCAATAGGGATGTGGGCTTCACAATTGCGGGTCATGGATCCGATTAGTGGTGAAACAAAATTTGTCTACGAATTCGAGCAAAATGAAGCAGCTCAAAGGTTTGTATTGTGTTAAAATTAAATAACTTTCTATTTTATATATCTCATTTTTTTGTTTCAGTATAAGTTTAATGCGTTTCGAAGCAAGACCTGCTGATACCTTTCTGTTAGTTGGCGTAGCGAAAGATTTGGTACTTAATCCAAGATCACATCTCGGTGGTATTATTTATTGTTTTCTTATACTAGAAAATGGTGAACGTATCCATTTTATACACAAAACAGTTATAGATGAAGTACCAGGTAAGAAAGAGCGCTATTAGTTGATATAAGCTATTTTTATTTGAAAAAGAAGAGCGCTATTAGTTTCTACACATTATTCGATGATGATATTTATCGCATGTATTACATGATGTAACAATGATTTAATTTAATTTACTGAGAATAATGTATTGCAGTGTAAATAATATTAATCGAATTTCTTAACTTTATTCTTGTTTATTTTGTTTTTTAGGAGCAATTTGTCCATTGGCTGGTCGAGCATTAATTAGTGTTGGAGCAAGTCTTCGTGTTTATGAAATAGGAAAAAAGAAGTTGTTGAAAAAATGTGAAAATAAAGTAAATGATACTTATCAACCTTAGATTATTTTTAATACTCTTCTTTTCGTATCCGGTAGTTTTTATTTTATGAAATGTGGCAACTATGTCTTGATGAAAATGATGATTCTAACCCGCTTTACGGAGAAATTATGTCGATATTTTTAGCGAATCTGATTCATATTCATTTATTGCCAGTTTAATAATTTTTACTAGTGTTCTCTAAGTTTCTACACATTTTGTAAGATACACAATTCCTCAAAATAATTTTCTACACTTGTTTTTCAAATAACATAACCCAATCACTAGGTTTTCGATTGTGTTCTCACAATATCGAAGTCACAATGATTGGAATAATAAATCAACATCTCTAAGGGAGAATTTTTGCTTTATGCAATACTTCTGGTGACTTGGATGTTACATTTTTATTGTTTTACTTTGTTCCTTTCTGATAGTTCCGAAGAGCAACTCTATCAGTAGATTTCTTTTGTTCATTTCTTTTTACTTCTATTTCATAACTCCTCGTTTATCTTAGAAATGTAAGGTGAATACAAAATATATGTGTTATGAAATAGTTGCAGTATTGCACGTCCATCCTTCTTTTAGAATCAGAATGATTTTAATTGTATTGAATAATTTATTCTCTCGTTTAGAATATACCAAATCAAATTGTCAGTATTCATACTATGGGTCATCGCGTATTTGCCACTGACGTACAAGAAAGTGTACATTTTATTCGTTATAAAAAAATGGAAAATCAATTGATTGTATTTGCCGATGATACAAGTCCTCGATTCTCAGTGGCTAGTTGTTTATTAGATTATAGCACAGTTTGTGTCACTGACAAATTTGGGAACATAACTATTGTATGTATTACATTTCTCTCTCCTTCGTCTTCATTTTCTTGTTTTTGTTTAGTTACGTCTACCAGCTGATGCAAACGATGATGTCGACATTGATCCAACGGGCAGTAAAGGTTTGTGGGATCGTGGTTTGTTGAATGGTGCATCCAATAAGGTAAATTAGTTACAGGTGTTCCATTTTACACGTTAACATTTCATATATTTGTTTATTATTAGTGTGATGTTCTTGCTCAATTTCATATCGGTGAGATAGTAACATCTGTTCAACGAGCAACGCTGATACCTGGAGGATCTGAATCACTTGTTTATACAACACTATCAGGAACAATTGGAGTATTAGTGCCATTCTCATCTCACGAAGTATGTATTATATATAAAAACTAAAGATAAAAATATATGTGTGAAATGATGTTTCATCTGTCGTTTACAATTCTGACATAAAATATGTGATGTAACTGGAATTACTTATTGCTGATCACACATTTAAAATCTGTGTTCTATATTTTCCAACGCTGCTTCAAAATTGTAAAGTTGTTTTTTGCTTTAGGATCATGATTTTTTTCAACATCTTGAAATGCACATGCGTGCTGAGTATCAAACTGTCTGTGGTCGGGATCAAAGTGCATTTCGTTCTTACTATCTACCCGTTAAAGTAAGTAAAGAGAATAATATTGATGGAGTTATTTAAGCTTAACTATGGTTTACATCTATTTCAGCACGTAATAGATGGTGATTTATGTGAGCAATATTCGAATCTTGATATGACAAAACAAAAGTTAATCGCCGATGGCTTGGATAGAACTCCGAGCGAAGTATCGAAGAAGCTTGAAGATCTAAGAACGAGATATGCATTTTAAAGTTCTTATTTTCTATGTCCAATTATATTTGTAAATAGAGTGTGTGTGTTTGTATGCCCTAAACTTAGTGGTACTTTCGTTTTTTATGAAATTACTCCACTTCTGTCGCTATCAGTCAAATACAAACTTAAACGAATGTTTTCTTTCAATATGTGTTTTTTTTATTTTTAATTTTGGATTGCTGTTGTTTGTTATGAAATAAAAAATAGTAGGCAAAGTGTCAACCGACGACTGCTTATTTGTCTCGAGTTTGAGACCAAGTTCCTGCAATGAGAACTTACTGATAATTGTTCCACGTGAGCGGTATAGAAACCAGAGATTTTTATTTCTCTTTTCTGCTGAAATTTAAATGTTTGAAGACTCATCTAAAGCAAAATGTATGATTTTCCAAGCGATATGATGATATCTTTTTAACTCTCTCTCTGAAGAGACTGGTGCTGATAAAACTGATACTGATCGCTAAATCAATATTTTTTTCGTTCATTAGATAACCTTTGCTAATATGTATGCCGAACAGAGAATAGGAAAGATGAAGGAAGATGGGAGCAGATACAAAATTTGTCTCGATAGTTGTTTAGTTGTGAAGTAGATAAAATGTAGTGGTGGATAACTGAATATGTCTTTTAGTTTTTTACTCCTTTTAGTCATTTTTGTAAAGGTAAAAGTTGAGATCAGTAACGCGTCGATTGTATAGATTAAGAGAGTAAAAAAGATACAAAAGGGTCTAAATGAATAAAAGGGTAGGAACACGAAGATAGACAAGTTATATAAATGTGCAGTACTGAACGTTGGTTCAGAAATGCAAAACAGATACAGCCTATTATGCATGCCAAAAAGATCTGGACAATCCTCAGTTCTCGAAATGAACAAGATTTCAAATATTACGAAAAGACTTCAGTATAATAAAATTTTCTTTACATGTACTACGCATACTAGAGTATGTGTAAAGTAGTACATCAACCGCTAACGTTGCCACTTTATCAAATTAGAATTTGATAAAGCTAAACGATAGTGTGCATCTAGCATTATCTAACTGTACATCTCAAACAAGATTCAAAAAATGTTCACTGACAGCCGATCGAAGATAGTAGCCCTGTGGATTGAGCAAATGTATAGAAATATGTACAAAGTCACGTATTACAGATCTATAAGTATTCGTTTGTTCTAAATCATACATCTACACATAAATATGCTGCGCAACTCTTTTCCAAACTAACTAAAAATAATGTTAATTATTCAATAACCGATGTTCCATTACAAAATTTTACTAATAAGTAAAATTCGTGAACAAAATTGTTAATTAAATCAATGTTTCAGAACATGATCTTGAATAACTCTATTCATCATCTATCGAATCAATAACATTTGTACTAATGTATTTCCTTGCTATTTTGTTAATGTTGTATAATGATCGAACGTTGTCGAACAACCGTATATTTTACGTATGTTTTCAGAAACATGTGGATCATAGGTAATCGATCACGCTGATCATCGTGACGATGTTCGTTTCATTCCCCACTTAACCACAACTTCAGAAAATCCAATTTGGTGAAAAGTTCGCCTGTTACCATCAAAACTTAAAAGCCTTATATTTCACTCATTTCTCGTCTAAAAAGGCTCAGACTTTCAGGGAATGATTAGCAGAGACCATAGAATGCAGATCGAGCCGAAAAAATCTGATCCGAGCTTTTGTTCCGTGGAAGATTTTCCAGAGATCCGCTAAAAAACAGTATGCCTAAACTGAAAACTTTGTGCAATGTTTTAGACTTGATCTGCATTCTATGGTCTCTACTAATCACATCCTGAAAGTCTGAGCCTTTTTAGACGAGAAATGAATGAAATATAAGGCTTTTAAGGGTACCCCTCTTTTTCTACCCTGTCGGAAACTAGGGAAGCCGATGTTGGATCGGGTTCTAATTTATACCAGAGACAGAACATCGAAAAAGAAAACTGATGTATTTTTGCCCAGAATTTTCTGGCCTGTTCTTCTATAGATTTTCTGGAAAACTCCAGTTTTCATTGGCACACATTGCGACCCCTCGAAAAAATGGTCCGATCGAGCTCAAAATTTTACCACAGATACTTGAAACCGTATCTCAGGTTCGTTTCTTTGCGTTTTCTTTTCGAAAAAAATACTTTCCTTCTCGAGATATACGAAAAATACTGAAAATCCCGTATGAAAAACGTTTTTCATTTTGAAAACCGTCTCACGGCGAAGGTTGAAGTCGAAAACGCTTTTAAAAAAAATGAACCTGAGACAGGGTCTGAAGTATCTGTGGTAAAATTTTGAGCTCGATCGGCGAGGACTCATAATGTGTGCCAATTAAAGGGACTATTGAAAAAACGTATAGTGAGAAAAACACATACCGTAGAAAGCCGACTTTTCATCAAATTGGATTTTCTGAAGTTGTGGTTAAGTGGAGAATGAAACGAACATCGCCACGATGATCAGCGTGATCGATTACCTATGATCCACATGTTTCTGAGATTCCCAGACGTGTCTGCAATGAGATAGGTGTGTCCTCGGAAAACGTCTGTATCTCCGGAATCAAAATAGATGGAGACCTAAGCCTTACGTAGTTTTGCAGAGAAATGTTTTGGCTATCGACTGGTATTATTTGAAAGTGGATGCCATAGTGTGGTTTGGGAACGGTAAGCTTTCGGATATTGTCTCGAATGGTACACCATGGTAAACGTGATCGGGTGCCCTGTTTTATCATAGATTTACGTGCCCCGCTATCTTCTTTCGAATGGCGAAAACCGCAGGTCTCTAGCTATCTCCTATCGAAAGTTACAAGCATTTTACCCACTCCTGTCGTTTTTTGAAAAAGATAATAGGGTTAGGGTATAGTTACTCTTGAATTTTTCGCTGGTGAGAATGAATAAATTTTCTTTTTAACTCCTAAAATATCGATTTTTTTCTAGCTGAAAAATAAAATGTTATTAAATTTGTTAGAAATATATCATTTATTATAAAAAACATTTTTACACAAATCGTTAATGATGAATAAAATGAATATTAATATCAAATAGAGTTCTTTTTTTATAAAACTTTCATCAGAACGGCTGAGTGTTAATATATATTAGTAGAGAGAAGTCTGCGTTTCGGCTTAGCGGTGTTAGTAGGTAGATGGTGATTTATTTGCAAACACTATTTATACTAAGAGGTAACATTGAAGAAGTTATTCGTATGGAATTAAGAAAAAGCTCATTATAGTATTCACTGAATAGCAGAAATGGTTCGTCTGCAAAAGTACGAGGCATTCAACTGATTTGCATTCACAATTCACAACAAGAATACTGGAGAGCAGCTCCACATAAAATCATTCTTAGCTCTAGAAATGTCATCATTTCGTCGCGTTTACTTGGCGAATATGAAGAACTTTATCAAGTCATTCTTTGTTTGAGAATTCTTTTATGACCTGATTAAGATCATAGATGAGGTTATGTAGAAGTTATACTCTGCTTGTCTAAGGTTTGAATTGTGTACAATAAAGCATACGTGCTCACCAGTACCTGTATGGAAACAGTGATTACAAATACGAGTCGACAAATGATGCAATTTGGCCGACTAGATAAGGGTTTATGCCAGCCCTTTGTATTGCAGATGGAACTGACCTTGGTATACTAATTCTTCCATTATACCTTCGAGCGTAATTCATCATATCACCGCCCCAACCACCGTAGTGCGGTCGACCTTGATAATTCACGTAAGAATGCATTTGAGCTCTAACAGCTTGATAATGACGTCCTGTAGCCGCCCCCATTCCAGTACGATGCATTTTCACAATAATTTTAGCAATATGAAATGAATATTATGAAAGAGAGAACTTGTTAAAGTAAATTTATACAATAGAATGGATTAAGAACTTGATCTTAACAATCATAGTAAGAACAATGAATATATCACGCATTGTTAAATGAACCGTATCTTGTGTTAATTTCCGAAATAATGATTTGCCTTTCTAACAAATAAACTATATGGAAAACATACTGAATAATTATACTGACTCTTTTACTATTTACTAACTATACTTAATGTATAACATCACAAATAGTTTTTTTTTGAGAGAATAACTTGACTAAGTGTTTTTCGTATTTCAGTTGTGTTCAATTTTTAATTTCTAGAATGTGCACGAATGTTCTCATTAAACTAACCTAAAATGAATCTAAAAGTCGAATAAATGAAATTTTACGACTGGTCGATAAGTCATAAAAGTAGTTTAAAAAATTGAAGATTTCTAGAAATGTGATCGGATGGTCGGCTTTTGTCACTGCATGTAGTTTGATCTACTCTTTCCCTTTCGTACTCTTATTTTTGTTTCGTTGGAAAGGTTGTTGCTACGCTTATCATGCCTCATATTCCACAATATGAAACTTTATTGTACAGAAAATGACTTTTAGTGTCTGAAACACAACAAATAAGAATATGAGTGATGTAAAAAGGTCAAAATATTTTTGTACTTTTAATTTATTAAATTTGAGTGACATAGAAAACAAACACATTTTTTGACACGTGACACAGATTGAGTAAGTCATATTCGAGTCCTTTGTACATCACATTGTGCGTAGATGTATTCGTTTCATACATGTTAATACATAATACACATTGACGCACATTTCTAGCAACAATACACGTATTAAATATTTCTCAGTATTGCCTAGCGGATATGTTTCATTTTTTATAACTCTCAGTACAATATTTGGCATTGGACCACAGTACGTGACCGTGTTAAACCAACATTTAATACAGTTACGAGCATTTTTACTAGGAAAAAACTTATGTTCTTATGTAATTAACTAATTCTTATATTGAGTAAGAGATACAAAACAAAAAGATGAATGAAAAATTGTTTACTAAAACACAGTTGCACATGTCGACACATATTTGTAACCCATTTATACACAACACACAAATTTTTAACATAGTTGCACATATCGACACACAGTCGTACTTTCACACATTTCCAATGGTGTGTTAACACACACAATATTTTTAG